GAATCGCTGATTGGGGATAGCGGAGGCGTGGGTTTTTTTGAAAAAATTCCAGCGGTTTTCTCTCTCTCCCGGCTTGAAGAATCCCCAAATCTCAATCCCAAGCCTCAGATCCCCAATTCGCTCTTCCTTCTCTCTCCTCTACGCCTCGTCAAAAATCCAAACTCGCTGGATTGACTTACCCTAATCGACGCCACAACCCCTGGAGGTCACGGCGGCGGCAGCGCCACAACTCTTCACTGTTCCTCTAAGCTCTGACGTCGACGCGGTCCTCGAAGACCCTCCCTCTCTCTCGTCCGACATTGTCTCCAACGCAGTTTACCCGTCGAAGACCCTCCCCTCCCCCAACTTTTGGCACTCGCTCGTGACCCCCATCGATTCTCCGACGCTGACTATCCCCGTCAAAGGGCTTCGCCGGACCCTGAGCTCTGCCTCCCTAGCCGGCGCAGGAACCAGTGAAGTTTCTCAATTTTGTTTATTTGATTTTTTTTAAATTCTTTTTGGGGATAATATCTCAATTTTGGGGTTAAAACCTGTATCAAAAGTTAATATATGGTAAAATTGCTAAAATTTGTTTTTAGCAATTTGGTAAAATTTAACTGATGCTAAAATTTAGTGAGTGATTAGGATTTAGTTTCTTCATGCTTTTATTCTATGAGTGTCGATTTCGTATTATTGGCGTTTGTAGATCAAACTAGATCTATTAGCTGGCATAACTAGTTAGTCAGTTCTGTGAAATGTGATATATGACATCTAGGTGTGCTTCTAAATTGTTCTTGCTATGCGTGTAAGCTCTTTTTATTAACAGTTCAGATCATTCAGAAGTCCAGCCGATACTGTGATCATTAGCACAAATTGACAAAATCAGTGTTAGACTAATGTTTGACCCCGTTTATTCTAGTTGAAAACAGCAGCAGATGTTTGTGATTCTCTGTTGTTAACATTTTGTGTGAAGCTCTGGCACGACTCGTAACATTTGGTTTCTTTTTTACTTTTTGTGAATTTTTGGTCACTGGTATAAGAACTGGTTGCAAAATGTTGTTAATGAACCTCATTGTGTAAGTGATGCCTTGTATGATGCATGGTCAGCTATTAAATTCTTGTGCTTAGTGTTCAATGATCTTCTCAGTCGGTTTAACTACAGAGCATAGACGATAACTTGATACAAAATCCACTTAATTTTCCACCCTCCCTAGCTGTAAATCTTTCAACAGAATGAATCCAGTGCTCCTTTGAGTTCAGTGAAATTTTCGGAAGAAATTATATCTTGTTCGTGGTATGTTTTTTGCAGATAAAAGATGAAGAAATTTTTGAAAGAGTTTAGTGAAGAAGAAGATGAGGGTTTGGTTAAAAGAAGATGTTATTGTGGTTTAATTTGCAGAATATGGATGTGCAAGCAGGGACACAATAAGGGCTTGGAATTTTATGGATGCCCGAGATACAAGGGACCTAATTGCAAGGGTTGTAACTTCTTCGAATGGGTGGGTGATGATAAGAACATCACAAAAAGGCTGGAAAGGCTGGAAAAAAATGTTGAGGTTTTGAAAAAAATGCAGAATGGTGTAATTTTATATTTAAAATTTATAAGTATCGTTGTACTGATATTGTTGCTTTGCGTTATAGTCAAATGACTGAGCATCATATCAGTGAATGACTGATGTATCCAAGTATCCTTTTGTAAATGACTGTCAGCATGGTTCAGTTGTTATGTTTGTGATTCTTTGCACATGTCAGCATGTTTGTGTGGTATATAAATTGTGTGGTATATAAATCTTTTGACAGACTCTGATTGAACATGTTTCTTGCACTTTAACTCTTAATATGTGTGTGGGTTGTGTCAAGAACTATTACAGGTTGTACATATTGTGCCTGTAGTTTCAATTTGGCAGATAGACCACATCTACGTTAAATTTTTCCTCCTTTACCCTAGGTGAATTTGAGAAAGAGTTCAATGCTGAGCTTCAGAGTCTAGTGCCTATTTTGAGCAACAATTCACAAGCAGAGCCCTACTTGACTCATCTTGCACAATGTATTCTGGGTGTGAGGAGTGACCAGTGACTCTCCTTGGGAATCAATTTCATATAAAAATTTGGCAAGTTCGTACACATATTTGTATACATCGAGATTGATTAGAAAGAGTAGCTTCCTCTTGATTTCCCTTGGCAAGTTCACTTGCAGGTTGTATATAACAGCAGAGGTCTAGATTTGTATTATTGCTTTCTGACTTGCTAAATGCAGCCAAGTGAGGTTTGGGTAACGTGGTCGGGATAGATTCTCTCTTCTGTTTTGTTTTCAAAGACAGCCATGAATCGTCTCTTCAATTATCTTCTATGAATGGGGATTTGGAAAATGTATAGGTTTTATGATACATGTTTTAAATAAATAAAAAATTCTCATATAAAAGTCATAAATATTTTGGATATACTCTATAAAGCTGAAATCAAATATCCTGTTTCAAATGCGATAACATAAGAGTCAGCAATTCCATTGAGTCTAATTGATACATATATTCGGATACAAAATTAGACAATTTTACTTGTATTTAAATCCTTATCTTCATCCAACCAAATATTAAAAACGCTATCCAATCTGCATCTAATTCACAGGTAATAGTCAGACTGTCTATATTTATGCGAAGGTAATAGTCAGACTGTCAAATTAACCTACTTTAGCATAAAACTCAAGACCAGTTCACAAGTACAAATGATACCCAACACCGAGCGACGCTTTCCTGAAAACGACTAGTATATGGAGACCAACAAAGGTCTTGGGTTTGGGTAACTTCCATCGCTCAAGTTATAGAATTCCAAGATGACATATGATACATGTTTCTAACCTGAACAAAACAACTTAAAAGTGTTTCTAATCTGAACAAAGCATGATAGCAGAGATATAACAGTACACAAAATGTTCACTTAAGAAAAATTAATACATCACAATGATGGTACATATTAAGCTCATTTTCAAGATGAAAAATTGAGATACATTTGCATGATAATGCACCGTGGTAGCTGTTGACATTTCCTAATATCTGCAATGTATGAAACCATTATTGCCATGACATCTGCAACACATGCTATGAGCGAGACATAGGTAAAAAAACTAAAGGAATCCGATCCAAAAATGAAAATCAAGAAGAAATCGTTCAAAGGTTCAGCCTCCACAATAGTATGCAAAAAGAAAATACCCGAATCTGATGTCAAATCAAATTAAGTTTCTGTTTTCCCAATACAAACATATATAAGTCGAAATAAAAAATGGCAAACTAACAAATCAAATTAAGTTTCTGTTTTCCCAATACAAACATATATAAGTCGAAATAAAAAATGGCAAACTAATATGTCATATACCCAGTACTAAAGCACAAAATTAACAGAGTCTTAATACAACATCTCATATCACATAAAAACTCAAGAAACTGTAGAAGCTTCATCAACTTTTGAAATTAACAGAGTCTTAAAACAACAACTTTTGAATTCTCGAAGCTTCATCATAACTTCCTCATCCAAAACCCATCAGCATATATTTCTTTTTTTAACCTGTAGAAGCTGTAGTGGCATCAATCCCAACCCCTATTCCTGGTTGACCTCTTCCTCTTCCTTGCATGGTTCATTGTCACTTCATACCTGTAAGGAAGATAACCTAACTAAAATGAAGAAAAACAATTAATTTGATGAAACAAATCTACGTTCAAGTAAAATATGATTAAGATAACCTAACTAAAATTCAGTTAATATGCTGCAGAATTTGTGAGTAGCTAAATTTAAAATATGATTAAGATAACCTAACTAAAATTCAGTTAATATGCTGCAGAATTTGTGAGTAGCTAAATTTGTGAAGTCCATCAACCTAAAACAAAATTTTAACAAATACTGTAACAGATTTGAAACTATTGCATTACTTCAATATAATCAAAGGCAAAATGAAGTTTCCTCACCAATCCTTAAAAAGTGATCTCCATAAACTTTGTTAGTCATGTTTGTCTGTTTCGCTACATAAAATATCAAAGATAAAATTAATAATATGATTTAAGTAATAAAATATTTTAACTTGTCAATGTAATTAATCATACCTGGGCTTGTTAACTGTACAGCTAGTCCTATAATGCCCAAGTTGTCCACATCTACTACATGTACGCTTTTGCCTCTCTTTCTTTTCTTGTGCTTGTTCTAAAGTTGATTTAATTCTTGTAGCATTGCGTGGACGACCTTTGGTTATTGCTTGCTTTTCCGGGCACGAACTGTAATTTGTGAAATATGTTGGATTGTATGTGAAGTAGGTATCTGTGGAAGATCTGAGTCAGGAATGTGGCTGCTACCAGCATCTATTGGTTGACACCCTCTGACTTCTTCTTCAACCCTCTCTATGAAACTTGTTAACAAAGAATCAAGCTCATGCATTCTCTTATCTGACTCAAAGGCAAGCTCCAGTGCATTGTTGGTTTTTGCTTTCAAAGCCCAAGTTTTCAACAGATTTATTTTTTCTACACCGCCTGCAATGTTTTTGCCAAACACAACATTGTAGGCGTCAAAAAATGCTAATAGATATCCCAAACATAGAGAAGATCACTCAAAAAAATCACAAGAATTGATCTCATACTATTTTTGGAAAATCAAGACAGATATGAACTGTCTCGCCAGCGAGACAGACTTTGCTGTCTCGCCAGCGAGACAAGCACCACACCCTTTGATCTCATTCTGAAATACATGAAACATAGCGCGGGTATAACTACTTCCAGCTTGTCTTTCAATTGGATGCCCAAGGTGAAACTGCGGTTTTGTATTAAGAGTTCTAAAATCTTCATGTGCTTCACTCAATCGTCGATGTGTCACGGCCTTTTCATATTGAGTTACAAATTCTTTTAAATGTGTTTGTGAATTCACATATCCATCAAAGAATGAGTTGATGCTTTCACTCCTTTGAGTTGATCTTATTCCTGCAAAAAAAATGCCTTTTAAGAAGCATGGCACCCAATGGTCTCGATACATGTACATAGTTTGCAGCTATCCATCTTCTTCTTCTATTATCTTAAACTTCTCTTTCATCTCGAGCCAATGCAAATTACAGTTCTCAATGTTACCACTATTACACCACAAGTCCCAATATTTTTGAAATTCTTCACCATAAACAGAATTCAAAGTATGCAAATGATCGGCAATATGTCGCTGTAGATGCCAATAACAATAATGATGCCTTGTGTTTGGAAAGACTTTATGAATGGCATTACACATTGCTCGGTCTTGGTCTGTGATGATAGCACCTGGTTCAATTCCATGCATGCAATTTAACCATTCCTGAAACAACCAAACAAATGTTTCTTCTTGTTCATCAGCTAATGCACAACCAAATAAAGTAGATTGCCTATGATGATTCACCCCAGTAAATGGTGCAAATGGAAGACTAAACTTGTTAGTTTTATAAGTCACATCAAACACAATAACATCATTAAACTTCAAATAAGTTGCTCTTGATTTTCCATCTGCCCAAAAAACACTTCTCATTTGTCCAGTACAATCTACTTCCAACGCAAAATAAAAATCTGCATCATTAGCCGCCTTTCTTTGAAAATGTTGGATAACAAATATACATTCATTACCAATATTGTTGTGCCTTTGAGTCTTCATATAGTCAATGCACTGTTGTGGTGTCACTGATTCATCTTCTCTTCCACTTGTCGCGTTAATAACACGAGAAATAGTGGAAGGAGTAATACCTTCTTCTTGAAAACATTGAATCATTTTTTTACACATTTTACTTCTATGAAATTGTTGATGTGACTTGTGCATCTTTGCTTTATCTGGACTACTAAGCATGTGGTTTGTATGATCTTCAATAAAACCTATAACTTGCCATGTTTTATCCTCCATTAATTTTATTCTCATCATTGCTTTACAACCAACTCTAGTCTCTCGCCGATGATTAATATTTTTTCCTATATCTCTCTTGTCTTTATTAGATCTGTAACCTTCTTTGTCACAAACAAATTTTCTATTCAATACTTGTTTATCTTTCTGAGAGTAATTCACTGAGCTTTTTCTGATTCCAAATCCCATCATCAATGCATACGAGTTATAATAGTCATAGGCCTCCTCATGACTATTAAACTTCATTCCTAAACACGGTTTTTCACCAATTTGCATTCTGAAATAAAGATAATTGTTCAAAAATATATAATGTTACTATTTCAAACAACATATTTAATGTTAGCGAAATTCATGATATTACTGAGGTACCTTGCAATAGGCATCGTTGTTGGAAAAGGCATGAAATGGTTGTTGTTGTTACTATCAACAGGAACATCTTCGCTACTATCACTAGATTCAGCCATTTGTCTTCTAAAACCTGCAAAGAAATTCCAAATATTATAACATTTTATGGTATCCGTAGTTGTCAGCATGAGGCATTATAATATTTAATAAGCAGGTTATTAAATTGTTTCCAAACATTAAATCTAGTTCCTAATATCAATTCAAAGAAATTCCAAACATTAATAAGCAGGTTATTACTGAAATCAATTGATGGGCAGTCCAATTTATCCTTTTAGACTTAAAATGAACATCAACTCTTTGAAGCAATTGTTTCCACATTGCACCTACATCATAGACAAGGAGTGTAATTTGACTTCATAAGTGTAACCAGTATTGATTATAGCTATTATAGATCACTGTTATAGATAATACGCATAGCTAACCGGATACTCAAGAAAAGGGCATCGCATGTGAGGCAGCATTGTAATGTCGGCAAGGTTACCTTAACTATAGTTCCTAATATCGCTTCAGTGTAATCAATACTGACGTCAGAGTACAAGTTAAGACCGTCCCTCCGAATTCCTGGTTTCTCATCCACATGACTCTTGTATCATTGACAGCATGAGGCATTATCAGGCAATCCAATGACTAGAATAGCAAAAGATAACAACTTGGCCTGATTACAGGGAGGCAGAGCTCAGGGTCCGGCGAAGCCCTGTGACGGGGATAGTCAGCGTCGGAGAATCGATGGGGGTCACGAGCGAGCGCCAAAAGTTGGGGGAGGGGAGGGTCTTCGACGGGTAAACTGCGTTGGAGACAATGTCGGACGAGAGAGAGGGAGGGTCTTCGAGGGCCGCGTCGACGTCAGAGCTTAGAGGAACAAATTAGGGTAAGTCAAATCAGCGAGTTTGGATTTTTGACGAGGCGCTTAGAGGAGAGGGAGGAAGAGCGAATTGGGATCTAGGTTGGGATTGAGATTTGGGGATTTCTTCAAGCTGGGAGAGGATTTAGAAAACGCTGGAATTTTTTCAAAAAAACCAACGCTCCGTATCCACAATCAGCGATTCCCACGTAGATTAACAACGCAGGAACTCCTGAGCTCAAGCGCTGGTCAGTTTATCCATGTAATTATAGTTATATATATATATAATATATATAGTATATATTATATGATATTAGGTATATCTGTTATATATATATAATATATATATATATATATTATTATATATTATATATATATAATTTTATATATATTATATTTATTTTTTATTTATTTTCTACTATATACTATATATATACGAATAGGAAGATGATTGAAGATGGGGCCGACTCCTCCTCTGACTTTATGCCCGATCCTTAGACTGGAATTCTCGATCCTTCTGCACAAACAAGGAGAAACCCGTGGGAGGACATGGCTCATTTCCCCCGTGGTACCTCTGACGGTCAAGTCAGCTAGTGGGCTTGAGTAGGGTTTGAGGGAGAGTCCCTGGGCCATTGAGGTCCTTAGAGAATACTGAAATCACCCTAATGCCACTAGGTAAGAACTCTAGAGGGGGATGAATAGGATTTATGCTAACCTAATCCGATTTATGTCAATTTAAAACTAATTAATGATATATCCTAGCAAGAATGATATTCAACAAGATATGAGCAAGGATATATATAAGTAACACAAGGGTAAACAAACTACTAAAGTGATAGGGTAATATAAACAACAAGCAATTGACAAAGACGATATAAATAATAAGCACGAATATAAAGGAACGCCAATGACAAACGCAAACAAACGTTATGATCATGGAGTTCGGTCCCCACAACCTACGTCTCTGCTCCTCATCTCGAGGAGATCTTCACTACCATAATCGAGTTTTCTACGCTCATCCGAATAACGTTTTATACCTCATACTCGGTTTTCTAGCTCACCAGAAACTTTACAATCACTCACAATGTAAACACACTAACTACCATCTCAAGTGTTGGTCTCTAGCCCGTGTCTCCCTCAAGTGTCAGGAATTACAACTCTCTCTAGGCATTACCACCTACCCTACTCCTCTTGGGACAACCCAGTCTCTCACCACACACTCCTCTTAGTGTACTAGTGTAATACAAAGTGAACCTCATAATAATAGCTCAATACAACAAATGTTTATTCTCTAATATAGATGAGAACACAATATAAGCCCAACTCTAAGTTACAATCTCACACCCCAAATATACTATGTATGGAAAATACTAAAAGCTCACTGTGGGTGTGTGTAACAAAGAGTAAATCAAATCAAACTAAACTCAATTAAGTTCTAGCTTATGGAAATGAAAATCAAACATATAAAATAGCTAGATTGAGTTTAGGAAAACTTCTCTATATGATAACAAGAGAGAGGGAGAAGAGTTGAATGCTCAAACACCAATGGATGATCTCTACTTGCTCTTGTAAAATTCTCTTCACAAACCAAAACTTAAAAATGCTTAAAAGCTTTTTAAACATACTTAAACAAACTTTAAAACCCTTGTAAAACTCTCTTGAACTTGTTTAAAACATTTCTTAGATATTTACTAAGTATTGGGGATAGAGGGGTATATATAGGAACTTAAGACAACACCCCAAGGCCCAAAAAAACAAGGCAAAATACCCCAAAAACCAAACCAGGAAAAAACTAGCCGTTAGGCTAAAAAGACACTATCAGTCGACTGACTACAGTGCGTCGGTGGACTGACTACAGTGTTGTTGAAAGATTTTGGCAGTTTCTGGAATTTTTACGTATCTAGCTTTGTAAAATTAATTAAAAATAGTAAATCAACTCTAAAAATCATGAAATTTTTAGGAAAGGTTCTTTACATATAGATGAACATGTTAGAGAAAGAATTTATAAAATATTACTTCCCATTTGTGAGAAATAAATATATCAACATAAATATTTTAAATTCTAAAAATTACTAAAACACCCAATTTTGTAAAATTAATTCAGCATAGTAAATCAATTCCAAAAATTATAAAATTTTGCAAAACATTTGTAAACATGTAATAGAATATGTTAGAAAAAGAATTTCTCAAATTTCATTTTCCATTTATGAGATATAATTTATTTTGTAAACCGTTCAAAACATGAAAATATATTTATATAAGTGTTGTTAAGTTTTCATGTTTATGTGGCTAAACACATTGTTTACCAAAACCAAAAATGATAAATATGAAACATGTATATATATATAGACAACACCAATGAACTAAGATTTAAGTTGATAGCATGTTACTTTCCATCAGTAACTTAAGAATACAGATTTAAGACTACACCACAATAAATACATTCAGAAAAAATATTAAAAGTTCAATAATATACCATAGAATTGAACTGATACACATTGTTTCAATATACAATAGGCATGAACTGAGACACATTGAGTCGATTTCACATTAAAACAACGCATTCATATGACACCTACAGTTGAAATATATCTTTCTTTTTAACTAAATGGTATTCCATTTTGATCAGAAGCAATGATCTGAAATTCAAAGCAACTTAGCTATCAAAATACCATATCAACTTGCGCATAAGAACAATGAGTTATTTGTCAACATCCCAAATGCAATTACTTAGTGAACATCCCAATCTTCGACACGACGATACTCCCAAGTTCAAGCTCCCAAGTTCAAAACTGAATTATTGACAATTCAGGTACTAGTTCAGGCAAAACAAGAGTACAATCTGAAACTGTAGCCTAAAGATGCTTGCAATTCCAACCTGTTTTTACCCAAAACTCTTAATAAATATGATCATTTCTTCTAAAAAACACCTATATATATAGCAAATTCCATTCATTTTGGAATCTTAATTTCTTCGGTTTGCAGAACATAAGCACTTGAACATACTTAGTATGAGTATGACGACAAGATCACAAGAGTATGAGTATGAGTATGAGTATTCACCTCAGAAAGTATGACGACAAGATCACAAGAGCTCGAGATCGGCGTCGGCTGACGACGGCTCTGTTGCAGGCGAAGGAGACGGATCTCGAGGTGGCGATGGCGATGACGGCGAAAATCCTGACGACCTCCTCCTTCGAAGGCTCGAGATCGGCGGCGGCTGACGACGGCTCTGTTGCAGGCGAAGGCGACTGATCTCGAGGTGGCCTCCAGTGATGACGGCGAAGAGACTGACGACCTCCTCCTTCGAAGGTTCGAGATCAGGTGTTTTTTCGAGGGATTGGGGAACGGCGGCGTCGATTCTCGGGGTGGCTGACGGCTCCGATGGCTGACGGCTCCGATGAAGATTTTAAGGACGGAGGAGGATGAGCGGCGTGGAATCTTATAAGTTTATTATATATATATATAGAGGAATATGGGTATGCTTGGTACCAAGCACAAAAAGTTGTGCTTGGTAGTGAGGTGTCAAATCCCCCTCCACTCATTCAAATGTGGGAACAAATTCACATGGGTAGTGAGTGGATGGGGATGTGACACATCACTATCAAGCACAAAATTTGTGCTTGGTACCAAGCATACCCATATTTCTCATATATATATATATATATATATATATATATATAGAGAGAGAGAGAGAGAGAGAGAGAGAGAAATATGGGTATGCTTGAAACCAAACACAAAATTTGTGCTTGGTAGTGAGATGGCACAATCTCCTCCACTCATTCAAATGGGGGACCACATTCACAGGGTTGAGGAGTGCATGATGATATGCAACCATTTGAATGAGTGGAGGGGATTATGTCACATCACTACCAAGCATTTGGTACCAAACACAAATTTTATGTTTGGTAGTGAGGTGACACAATCCCCTACACTTATTCAAATGGGGGACCACATTCACATGGTTTGAGGAGTGCATGAGGATATGCAACTATTTGAATGAGTGATGGAGATTATATCACATCACTACCAAGCACAATCTTTTATGCTTAGTACCAAACATACTCATTTTTCTTATGGTTATATATATATATAACCATAAGAATAAACTATTTCTAACAAACCTAGAAAATAAACGGAAACAAGAGATAAAGCGCGGGACTCGGACAACCGTTTCCGAAAATAACCAGAAAGAAATTATTCAAACGGAACGTAGTAACGACACCGTCAATAAATTAATAACCAAATTAAAATAAGAAAAATAAATAAAAAACAAAGAAAAAGAAAAGACCTCCACCGAACAACAAAAGAGAAAGGGGCACTCCTCTCTCTCTCTCTCTCCTCTCCTCCTCAAGAGAGAGAAAGAGGATGTCCCTTTCTCGAAGGATGGCGCTCTTCCCCAAGAAACCCTCGCCGTCTTCGATCCCCCTCTTGGATCCCGAAGCGAGCTTCGCCGGCGGCAAGAATCGAGCGGCGGCGGCGATGGAGGCGGAGGATCGGTGGTCGGAGATGCCGCCGGAGACTCCACGCCCTTACAAGACGGGTAGCGCGAATACGCACGCTTCTTTCTCGTCCTGGCCATCGATCCTCCGGCCTCTCCTCCACCTCTTATGATATCTGTCATGATCTCCGAGCGGGCATCTCCGACCACCGATCCTCGCCCTCCATCTGCCGCCGCGTCCTACCCTCCGGTATATTCTCCGTAGTCAAGAGGGGGATCGAAGACGCGCGAGGGTTTCTGAAAGCGCCATCCTTCGAGGAAAGCACA